AACGTAAAATGTTTTAGTTAAACAAAGTCCTTGAAGATTGTGGTAAAGGACTTAGACAGTGCAGGTTCCCCACCCAACTCACATGAACTGAAAAATCTTTAAGACCAATGATTATTTTGGGGTAGTTCATTTTTGGCTTCCTCTTATAGACTCATAGACTTAAGGTCAGAAGGGACCATTATGATCATCTAGTCTGACCTCCTGCACAACGCAGGCCACAGAATCTCACCCACCCACTCCTGTAACAAAACCCCTAACCTATGTCTGAGTTATTGAAGTCCTCAAATCGTGATTTAAAAACCTCAAGGTGCAGAGAATCCTCCAGCAAGTGACCTGTGCCCCATGCTGCAGAGGAAGGCGAAAAGCCTTCAGGGCCTCTGCCAATCTTCCCTGGAGGAAAATTCCTTCCCGACCCCAAATATGGTGGTCAGTTAAACCCTGAGCTTCTGGGCAAGACTCACCAGCCAGCACCCAGGAAAGAATTCTCTGTAGCAACTCAGATCCCACCCCATCTAACATCCTATCACAGACCATTGGGCCTAATTACCTGCTAATAATCAAAGATCAATTAATTGCCAAAATTAGGCTATCCCATCATACCATCCCCTCCATAAACTTATCAAGCTTAGTCTTGAAGCCAGATATGTCTTTTGCCCCCACTACTCCACTTGGAAGGCTGTTCCAGAACTTCACTCCTCTAATGGTTAGAAACCTTCGTCTAATTTCAAGTCTAAGCTTCCTAGTGTCCAGTTTATATCCATTTGTTCTTGTGTCCACATTGGTACTAAGCTTAAATAATTCCTCTCCCTCCCTGATATTTATCCCTCTGATATATTTATAAAGTGCATGGCCTTGGCTTTGCTTTGCCTTTACTTCATTGTCTGACCAACTCACAGATTATTTATGTATGTACTATTTGTATTGTAATAGCACTTGGGAACCCTAATGATGGACTAGGACCCCAGTGCGCTAGGTGCTGTACAAACACGGAACAAAAAGAATGTCCCTGCTCTAAACAGCTTGAAATCAAGATACAAACAAGAGACAGGCAAACAGATGAGGAAGTACAAGGAAACAATGAGACAATATTGGTCAGTAAGATAGACAGTGGTCTGAGCACGTCAGCCACCTAACCACTTAAGTCTTTTGTATGAAACAAAAACAAACAAAAATTAAGGACATTTTTGGAGGAGGATAATGAGGTAGTTTTGCAGATTCTATGGAGAGCTCCTCCCAAGCATAAGCAGCAGCATGAGATAACGAACAAAGGTGCTTGTTTGAAAATGTAACAAATGGGTGATGGAGGCTAGCATCATGAGCCAATTGGAGGCGAGAGTTGACATTTTGATAGTGAATGAGAGTTAACAGGTAGGATAGGAAACATCACAAAGGGCCTTGAAAATAAAAACAAGCCAGTTTATGTTTGATGCATACAGAAGGGAAAGCCAGTGGAGGGATACAAAACAGAGGCATCATGGTCAAAGCAATGAATTAGGAAAATGATCTTTGCAGAAGCATTCGGAATGGGTAGAGCAAGATTGCATTTGTCAAGGCCAGAGAAAAGGACGATGTAGTAAAACAAGACGTGAGATGATGTGAGCCTGGATAAAAGTTTTAGCTATGTAGATGGATAGAAAATGCCATATCTTAGAGATGTTATACAGAAAAAAAAATCAGCAAGATTTAGACAGTCTGGATATGAGGACCTAGAGAGGTGCAAGTCCACAGTGATCGAGAAATAAAGTAGCAGGGAAGGCTTGAGGGAAGACTCAGAGCTCTGGTTTAGCCATGTTGAGCATGACCTTCTGATTAGACATCATTGAAGAGAAGCCATAGACAGGCAGAGATTTTAGTTTGGACAGAAGGCGGCAGGCCTGGAAGTCATCAGCATAGAGGTGGCAGTTGAATTTACTCATGAAATTACCTAGAGATAAGGTGCAGAGGGAGTAGAAAAGGGAACCAAGGAGAGAGTCCTGTGGAACCCACACTAAGTTGGAGGGGGGAAAATGAGGAGGATCCTCTGGAAACAACAAGCTGAAGGAGCAATTAGAGAGGTAGAAGGACCCGGAGAAAACAGAGTCAGAGAAGCCAAGAGAAGACAATATTTCAAGGAAAAGAGGATGGTAGATGGTGTCAAAGATGGCTGATAAGTCAGATGAGGGTGGAGTACTGGTTCTGGGTTTTGAGTAGGAAGGGGTAATTAGAGAGACTGGGTTGATACGGTTTCTTTTCCTCAGACCTGGCTATTTTTTCAGATAATCTTTGAAAATCTAAGCTTAAAGCTTGTCAGCTAAGGGAACGTGGTCATTTTCAGTTTAGTTCTAAAACATTCAGTAAGTGTTTTGGCTTAATTATAATTTCTCTGCAACATAAAAAAAAATGTTTCCCTCAACTCAATAGAGGAGCTGTAAAGATGCCAACACCAGCTGGGCTCCAAAATTTTATGATGTAGAATTTCCAAAGTACTAAATGTACCATAAGGTAAATTGGACCAGAAGCTGCTATTATTTGCAACATAGTTTTTTGTATCCCAACTGGGATAATGAGTTGTAGACATGCTGGTCCGAGCAAACTGACTATTTATTTGTGCGTATAGAAATCCTACAATACAAAACATTTTTAAAGCAGCTGTTTGCCAAAACATCACAGCTCAGCTTGGCTTAGTGGGTCCTCAACTCATTTGGGATACATAAAACATACTGCAGATAATAGCAACCCTTCATCTAGTTTACCTTAATTGAAGTTGTTATAATGAAGCTTCTTCCATAAAAGAAAAAAAAGGGAGTGAACAATAAAGCATATAGTGCTCCACAAGCCACAGAATTCTTTTAATTCAAAAAGTTAATAAAAAACTAAGGATTACATAGTAATTTGGGGGTGGGGAGAGAACCAATCTCAACTTTGGCACACTTCATGTTCCTTAGCGTACACAAATTTGTAACCAGGAAGCAAGAAGAGGAACAACTCATACTATTTCCATCTATCATGCATCTTTGAATGTACTTTGAAAATGTGCCAGTTTGTAGAGTGGTGTGTCTCTGGGCTTGTGCACACTTACATTTTATAGCACTCTAACTTGCTGGCTCAGGGGTGCGAAAAATCACCCCCCGAGTGCAGCAAGTTTGAGCACTTTAAAGCGCTAGTGTGGACAGGCTCCCAGCGCTCACAGCTATTCCCCTCGTGGAGATGGATTACCAGGAGCTCCCTCCCACCACTTGCGCATGACTACACTCACACTTCAAAGCGCTGCTGCGGGAGCGCTCCCGCAGCAACACTTTGAAGTTTCTAGTGTAGACGTAGCCTCTGCCCTCACTACAGCTAACTCTCCAGTGCCTTCCCTCAGCACAGCACAGATGGGAGAGTGCTATTCAAAGGAATACAAGAACAGGCCACTGCACTTTTCTTAAAGGCTTTATCCAAAGCCCATTAAATTCAGTGGAACTCTTTTCACTGACTTCAATGGGCTTTGGATCATGTGCTAAGTGGCTTTCTGGAGTGGACTGAAAAGAAAACAATCTTTTTGTACTTTATGTAGGGGAAGGCAGTTCACCTGTACTCCTAACCTTGCATACAATGTCCCATCACTCATCCTGGCCTGGCCTCCTGCTGATTGCAGATAGTTTGGAACATTTAAATGAGAGATTTGCATTGGAGAAGATCTGGATAGATTTTGAGTGGTTGGGGATAACTTTGACTCAGAATAATACCTGAATACAGGCATAAATTTGTGACCTCCTTAGCCAGTACAGAGTGACTCATGCTGTCCTCCCCACAGATTCCTTAAAGAAATAGGATATGAGCAAGCTTAAGAACTGCCCTTTACTTAAACATGTGAATAGAAACTTAAAGCATTTTTACTTAATATACTGTCATTTTTAATAAGTTGCACATTTTACATGTTTTTGTTGCTTATCCCATCCTATGTTCACTCCACCCAATATTCATGTTCCTCTTTCCCAAATGAAGACAAGCTTCAGCCCAATAATAGAGAGCTCAAAGCTACAAATCCACTATGGATTAACTCCACAGTTTCCCTTATAATTTGCATTTGTCCCAATTTCTGTTCCCCACATACCCTCTTCCCCTTTGCTGAAGTTCCAGATCTCCAACCTGGCTTCTCTCATATCCACAATTTCTCTCTTTCCCACCTAGTTTAACTCAAAGCCCATGGAAAAGACAAATGTGATCTACAGCCCCTTCCCACAGCTACCCTCTAATTAACCAAATCCCATGGCAACAACACTTCTTCAGGAAGAAACAAGCAGAATATCCATACCAAAGCCATGAGCCTCCTTGTGGGTGCCCCACCAGTAAAGCTCTCCATTGGAGTCACATTTCTTTAAGATGTGATGGGTGTATTGACACAGTGGTATGATTGTGTGGTTAGTTCCTCTAATGTGCCATCACTTAGTGGCTAGAGCATGGTAGCACACACTCCAGTGAAGTGAGATAAGCAAGCATCTCCTCCCCCGTACCTATACTTCCTGGGTTACAGACACCACAGTGAACTTATTCAAGACAAAGTATTAAAGACAGTGTTCTACCCTTCCAACACAACATGATCAGGAAAATATGGATAGTTGAAATAAAATGTAGATGTTGAACTTGATGTAGTCTAACAACATACTTTAAAATATATTTTTGGTATTTTCTGAAACACCTCAATTTTTTATTTTATTTAACTTTTGCAAGTTCTTTACTGCTCCCTTTTATTATACTGAGTTGCTCACCGTGTAAACGTGGGGCGGCTGCAGCACCCCTGCATCCCTAGTTCCCGGCCTATGTGAACTCCTTAACGGTTAACCATTTAACCGATAGACTTTTAATAGGTTACATGGTCACTATTTTTAAACCCTATTTACATCCTTAACTGTAACTAGCTAAAATAAAATAGAAGTCAGATTTGAATAATTATTTATGTTTCTTCCAAGTGCAAAAAGTGGTTATCACTTTTCCAGTAAACGGCAAATAAAATAAAGAATTATCTGTAACAAACCTACAGGATCAATAGAAGGCAAGAGGTCTTTTTTTTCTTGCACCGGATCTTCCTCTTCATCTGTGCTATATTCTTCCATGGTTTCTCCACTTGCAAAGTGAATGACCCTTCTTGGAATTTTCTTGTTTTTTCCTATGATCCCCAGTTCCACATTCTCAAAGCCTCTATCGCCATTTGAGTGCAGCTGTAACAAAGAAAATAATGGTCTCAAAAACACAGCTTCTGCAGGATAAGCAGTGAAACTGGAGGTTTGGTTCTCACAAATATCTGTCAGCCAATCTAAAGTACCTTACTAGAAGTAACAGAGATCATTGAGAGCTTTTCTGAAGATTGAAGTGGAGTTTTTTTTGTTTGTTTTTTAAGTGATGCAGCTGTAAGGTAGCATTTCCCAAACTTATTAAAGCTGAGCTCCCCATTTCAAGAAAACTAAATTAATCACATTCACTTCAACCCTGCCTTCTCTTATTAGAGGTCTACCCAAAATGAACCAGTCACTGAAGTTATATTGTATAGATCTTCACTACACAGCACATCCTTTCTTTTCTTTACATGCTTTGGTGAACAATGGAATAGTTAATGTTGACATTTAAAATATCATCATTGGCATCTGAGTTAACACTCATTGAAATGAACAGAGGTCAAATTTCTTAACTGTTTCAGGCTCTTTGCAAATTCAGGCAGACAGCTCTCACAACACTCAATTCATGTTTTCAAGATATCCTTCAAAACCATGAGAGCTAGAGAGTAACTTTAAAAAAATTAAAGTTGAGACACTGAAAAACAACTGAAAGGCCTGTCCATGCTCTCTCTCCCTCCCCCAAATACACACACACACACTAGGGTTACCATATTTGAACTTTCAAAAAAGAGGACACTCCCGGGGGGGGGGGTGTAGCCCCGCCCCCTAGCCACTCCCTCCCAATTCCCGCCCCCCTGACTGCCCCCCACAGAACCCC